AATTTCAATTTTCCATGTGGAAAGTATGTCTCTCATAACTAAAACCAAATGAAACTCTCTCTTTCAAAACGTTATAAAAATAACTAAAAAAAGTTTTCATAGCTATAAGGAGTTAATATTTTAAGTTGGTAAATCTTGTAGTAGCTTTCATTATCTGTTAAAAGCTATTCAAATAAAATTAAATATTTACGTTTTGTACCTATGTGATTTCTCAATTAAAAGACTTTATCTCATCATAGAACTACAATAACCCAGTCGATCTGAAGCTACATGATATCCAAAGAGTTCTGTAAATTGTCCGAGTTGAAACAGTTTTCGATGAGTTGTATTAAATGTTTGACTTGAAAATATTTACAAAATTTGTGGACTTATCTGTCGTAAGAACTTGTTTTATTTGAAAATGACCTTTTAACTGGTTCACTAGCTCTCGAATGACAGCTGCTCAATTCATTTAACCCTTTCACTCCTAGATCTCTTATTATCTCCTGTTATTAGTTTGTTGCTTACACAGTCGAAATTATCATTATTGCTAGTTTTGCACACTATGGTTGTTTTAATAGTTGCGAGCGTTACATTTTCCAGTGATAAAAACAGACGTTTATAACTTGCGTTAGAATAAACCATTCTTGTTGCAAATCATACTGCCTGTTGCTTTTGTCATAAACTACTAACGGCCAAAAAATAGTGGCCCCACGTGCGTTCTATATTGAGATATTTCATTTTTTTTCTTCCGTCTGATACATTTCATGTTACGCGTTACACCCAGAAATTCACGCATTTTCAGAAAATATTTATTTTTTACAATTTTCACTTTGTCGCAAACCTTGTTTTCTTTACACCAAAATGAAGTAGGATAACTAAGCTTATATTGTGGAAAGTGTGAGATTTAGAGGTTAAACCTTCCCGAAGATATTCGTTAGCAAAGGCACTTGAGTCCAAAATGGCGGCGTGACTGTGCTACTCATCATTTTACTTCATTCTCATCACTTGTCTGCTTGAAATTGTATTGATATTGTAAGGAGAAAATCTTTCTTGGTCACTCACGGGAGTTAAGAGGTTAAGCTGGGACTTCCTCTCGACTGGAAAATGTGATTGGTCAATCTTTAACCTTAAGAGGATTTTTCGTTAAAATTTATTCAGCGCACAAAACATTCCCTGAAAGTTCTGTTACTGTACATTGGAAAACATACTTTACAGTAATTGTTGTTTCTACCTTTGTAGTTTTTGTAACAGCGCGGTTATCATCAGATTATTTTGGATAGTCAAACTAATGAATATTTTGGCATCGTTCTCTAATTTCTTACTATAAAGTTAGTCAAACAACTTACAGTTTGCCGAGTTCTCCATCATTGATCTCTCTGTGCATTTCCCATTCCAATTCTCCAATCCTCTTCGAGTCCCTGTTTTCATCCTCATCTTTCGACTCTGCAAATCCAATAAAGAAATTCATCAATAACAAATCACACACGGTTAGCTTTATTTTCGTCAGATTGGCTATCTAGAATATTTAAAATAGCACTTCTGGTCTTATTAGAGTCCTTATAGCCTAGCTTTAGGTGGTGTTAAAATTAAGGA